TATGAAGATGCCAGCCAAGGTCGGTATCCTTTCACTTTCCAGACCTGAGGTTTCTGATGCCTCCACAGTTGCTAGTCATCAACATGTGCGACAGAGAGCAGGACTATTTGACGTTGGACATATGGTACAGTCTAAGTATGTGCCGCGAAAAGATAATGTCGATTTAAAACGTTTCTCAACGAAGAAAACCCCTGTAGCTTCCGCGGCGCCACGGTGACTGAATTCCTAGAATGGTTGACTCCCTCCTCACTTTCGACACTGGTTCCCTATACTTCAACACTATCAGTACTTCTCAACGAGGAGGGCGGAATCATCGACGATATGATGATCACGAAATATGCGTCCGACGCTTTTTACGTAGTTACAAACGCGGCCAGGTGCGCAGAAGACTTGGCATGGTTTGAGGCGCGGTTGGCGGAGTGGAACACCAGCGAACGCTCGAAAGGTGGCCCTGTAGAGCATGAAGTATTGGAGGGATGGGGACTGCTTGCCCTACAAGGTATCGTCTGTTCCATTTAACTTCATAGGTCAAGCAAACGTTGCTGACTCAAGACAGGTCCCGCGGCAGCGGACCATTTACAGGCTCTTACATCCTACGATCTGCGCGCGTTGACATTTGGCAGGAGCGCGTTTGTTCCGCTCGAGGGCATCAACGTGCACGTTGCACGCGGTGGATACACCGGTGAGGATGGCTTCGAGGTCAGTCCCTCGCCTGTCGCGCTGAACCCTTGCTACCTGCTGACACCCAACTAGATTTCTATCCCTCCCGCGCATGCCGCTTTCCTTGCATCTGCACTCCTCCGCTCCCCCGTCCAACTCGCTGGTCTGGGTGCACGTGACTCCTTACGCTTGGAAGCGGGAATGTGTTTGTACGGCAACGACCTCGATGAGAGCACGACACCCGTAGAAGCCGGCCTTTCCTGGGTAATCGGAAAAGATCGTCGTACCGCGGGGGGCTTCATCGGCTCGAAGACCGTCCTGGACCAACTGAAGAACGGACCACCAAAACGGCGTGTAGGACTGATTGTTGAGGATGCACCTGCACGCCGTGCGTACCCTTCTCAATTTCCGTCTATTCATCCTGACTTTTGGGTTGTTTCAGAGGGCGCTAAAGTGCTTGCACCAGAAACATCAGAAGAAATCGGTGCGTGTCCTCCCCCGTGGTGACTGGCGATAGTTATAACAAGCGCTCGTAGGCGTTGTAACGTCAGGTATCCCACTTGCTCCTACCGTTGGCAAAAACATTTCCATGGCTTACGTCAAGTCCGGCTTCCACAAAAAAGGGACAGCCCTCGCAGTCGAGGTACGTAAGAAGGCTCGCCGGGCTGTTGTCACACCCCTGCCCTTCACCCCATCGCAGTACTGGAGAGGTTGAGTCTACAAGGCCGTTATCAGAAAAATGTGAGCATCCTAGTACATATTATTAGACCACTATGGACCTTGCAACCACAACACCTGCACCTCATCGAGGCCTCATCGGCCTCATCACTCAATTCAGTAGGGAATTCCAATACAGTTACAATGTTCTATAACCGTAAGAATGAGCGTACCTCACGGAGGAATTAGTGGAATTTTGAGAACACAGTTGAGTTGAACGACGTGCGTATTTGTCTCACAACCTCACCGAGATTTGACACTCGCCCTGCCAATATTCAAACACTTCGAAACCAAGTTATTCACCGCACATAGCACAAACGAGGCAACTCAAAAGCTGAACAGAACGCAGTGCGTGTGCTACAATTGCGACGGGGTATCGTGAAGGACATGACGATTAATACCAGGCATTATGGAACTCGTGGATAGAGGCGGGAGTAAAAAAAGGAAGGTCGGAACTGTGTGGATAGCGGAACTTGAAAAGCAGCAGCAGCAGGCGCACATGCCTAGTACTCCCCTTGTTCCTCTTCCACATCTGCGGAGTCAACCCCGACTTCTTCGTAATCCTTTTCGAGGGCAGCAAGATCCTCACGAGCCTCGGAGAACTCACCCTCCTCCATACCTTCGCCAACATACCAGTGCACGAAGGCTCGCTTGGAGTAAAGCAAGTCAAATTTGCGATCCAGCCGGGTCCATGCATCGGCGATAGCAGTCGTGTTAGACAGTACGCAGACGCTCCTGACAACGCGGGCGAGATCGCCATCTTGTATGTGTGCCGGTGGTTCGTTGGAGATACCAATCTTGAAACCTGTTGGACACCAATCAACAAACCGGATGGTACGGCGAGTCTTCAACTGGGCAACAGCGGCGTTGACGTCCTTCGAGACCACGTCTCCACGGTACAACAGCGCACATGCCACTGTAATGTCTCGTTAAGGCACATGCCACCCGACATTTAGGGTAGAACATACTGTATTTTCCTTCCACTGGATCGCAGTTGATCATCTGGCTGCCGCGTTGGAAGCAGGCATTGGTGATTGCGCTGACATCATTCATCTCGTGCTGAGCCCGGTCCACGGGTACAATGGGAGACAATGTAGCAAGAGGGAAATGTATTCGCGGGAATCTATCGGTAAGGAAAATGTTAGAGGACCCCACATCGAAAGGCGACGAAAGGCGACAGACGGGACGAGGTTTGTTTGGAATTCATTCAGGTCAACATTCAAAGAACCAGTAAAACGAAGGGAAACCGTGATTGAAGAAACGACTTGGGCGATCAAGCGATTCAGGTTGGTGAAGCTTGGCTGGGAAATTCCCAGGTGCTTCTTGCAGATCCCAAAAATCGCCTCGTTATCGACCTGAAAGCGTCAGGCCCATCATAGAACCATCGAACATCGACCGACTCACCATAAATGAACAATCAGCATGCTCTAACGTCGTATGTGTCGTCAGCACAGAGTTGTACGGTTCGACAACAGAGTTTGCCAACTGAGGTGCCGGATATACGCAGAACTCAAGTTTAGACTTTTTGCCATAGTCGGTAGATAGATGTTCCAAAAGTAAAGCGCCGAGACCGGAACCAGTGCCGCCACCGAAGGAATGGAAGACAAAGAAACCCTGGAGACCAGTGCAATTTTCAGCGAGACGGCGAATTCTGTCAAGGATGACATCGATCTTCTCTTTCCCAACTGTATAGTGACCGCGTGCGTCTGTGAAACGTTGTAAAAGACAGGTCACGTCAGACAAGGAAACTGTATGCACTCACAGTTGCTCGCCGCGTCCTCCTTCCCCGTGATCATTGTCTCCGGGTGGAAGAGCTCACGGTACTTGCCCGTGCGAACCTCGTCAATCACGTTTGGCTCGAGGTCGATGTAAAGAGAACGCGGAACGTATTTCCCAGATGACGTCTCGGAGAAGAAAGTACTAAAGCCGTCGGCGCCATTTCCTCGCACGGTGTCATTGGCCGGGAGACGGCCGTCCGGCTGGTTTCAGAGGTATCAGAAGGGCCAGCAAAAGTACATCTAGACGGCGATCATGAACTTACACCCAGCCCATGTTCGGCAGTGTACAACTCCCCTGAAGAGTATTCAATGCCTGGAGGTGACAAGTGCGGCTTTTCAGCCTGACTCACAGCAAGCATTTCCAATCTGGACTCCGGCTTGTCCGACGTGGATGTTAATGACTTCACGCATTTGCCTTTGGGATAGCGGGCTGCTAAAGAAGGGACGAGAATGAGTCAACTTTGGGCTACGAGACAAGGCAGCGGGTGACTCACTGAGGAAGGGAAAAAGTGGTCGATGGTGAAAGAGGTAAAAGGTGAGTAGGCGGGCGGGGACGTGTTTTGGGTTCTCGTCTCGATCTCAGCACGGAAACTTCTCACGATCATGACAGTATGAATGGACTCTACGCCAGTAAGAGTGTGTGCGCCTCTCTTACGTCGAGCGATCATCTCGTCACATATCGAACCGCGAACGCTCGGACGACGACGTAAAATTTGAATATGCCGACTGTGACGGTGTCGTCCTCATTGAAAAATCAGGTTGGGCGTGGACAAGGCGTGTACAGGATAACTTGTCACGTGTCCGCAAGATGTCGGCTCGGAGAAGTGTGAAACAGAAAAAAAACGAGAGCTCTTCACGTTTCTAGCACGTTTCTTCACCTTTTTTCTTACTGTATTACGGCACTGACGCTTAGCTCCAAGAAACTTGGTGGTTACTGTGCGAATGTGGCAGCAACGCTCTCGGCACACAGCACGCACGACCCAGTCAGGACCCGAGTCAGTGCCCTCACGGTAACGGACATTTCGCAGACCGAGTACCAATCCCTTGGAAGATAGATACACTTGGCGATATTGCGGTGCGATCAGCGGTGCGATGTGAAAGCTGCACGCATCGGGCCGGATTAATGCAGCCAATAGGAGGACCTGGGCGCACCACCTTCATTTCTTGAGACAACAAGCTCTCTTGGCCAGTCGGTGCTTCTGTCGGCGCGGAGATGAACAAAGTAAATCAGACGAGGCAAATGGACCTTCAATTTTCCTGCGTCACGACTAAGGTGGTACCGTAGCCTTATGACCAAATATCTCGGTGACTCCCTGGTGAGTCCACTTCGGCGATGCTCCGTGGCCCAAGGAGCTTCCGGGAGGGGAGGGGTGCGCGAGTCAAGCTAGTCAAGGCGCGAGTGCAACAGAGCTTTGAAGATGCCGAGTACAATAACAGGAGATAGTGTCAGAACGCAAGTACCCCGCCGGCTGCGGGAGAGCGATTTATTACTGAGATCAACAAATACAGTGATACGAGGACTCCGTGTCCATGACCCCTTCTCGCGTCCGGGAGGAGCTAGTCCTTTACTCACGCCATTTCCCATCTTGCAGCAAGTCGCTGCGCTCGGGCATTGACTTTAATTGTGCTTTGCCTACCACACTCTCTATTTACTGTAGTCACTGGTATCACATCTTTCCAATCACGATTACCAGACATTTTGTCCACAAAAGTTCTGCAGCTGCGCTAGCTACGGTGGAACCGCGCTTTGTCCTTACCAGCTAGATTAATCGACAAGTACTGTAAAAAAACAATTTCATGGAGAGTTCTCTGGACAAGAAGATAAGATTGAAACTACTTCATTAAGTCCCTGTCGATTAGTGGTTAAATCATCACGTTGTGGTCGTCTCGCTGCAATTCCGTGAAGCCAGCGGCTCGAATCCGCTCAGGGACAATGGGTGTTTTTTTTCTTAACTGTCAAGAGCTCTGTGGCTACAACCATCATCAGGAGCGACGTACGTTGGTTGTGCAATAATCATTTGGTAAATGAAGCAGTTACAAACATATTTACGTGTGCAAAAAAGACTCCGTTACGGAAATTTTGTTGTGAACGTGATAATGACACTCATTCGATGAGGATGAAAATGAAAATGCGATGTTAGGCAAGCACGAGGCCAGTCGAGCACTTAGTTCTAAAGTAATGTTTTGAAAGATTAATAGGAATTAGGGTAAGTGACGGAAGGCAGATGAGAAGCCCGAAAAAAGGTGAAAAGGGCGCTGTCCATCCAGGGAAGTGCACAACGTGTGGCATGTACAAAGAAAAGGAGCGGTGTTCGGGGCATGATGAATACACCCGGGTACAAATCAAGTTCATTAGTTTTCGTTCGTCCTGGCGCCACCCCAGAACGCAGAAACCTCTGCCAGAGGACCGGAAGATAAGGGGGTGGTGCCCATGCCGGCTATGGCTTTCAAGTTGTTCGTGAAATCGGGAACAGGCATGAGAAATGACGGTGAGGTCGCATCCCGTCCAAGTGCACCGGCGAACGAATCAAAGTTCTCGGTGGTCTGTGTGCGGTGCACGAGTGGATGGCGAGGGGAGAGCTCTGCCGTGGAGGCCAGCGGTGGGAGGGGCGGGAGGGGCACATTCGGTGGAGGGACGGGGGGAGGTTTGCGGAGGGCTCGACGGGATCTAAAAGTAACGAACAGAAACCAGATGAGCGTAAATACATACAGTATAAAAAAGGGTTCTTACCGCAGCGCACCACCTATACTTCCGCTCCGAGAACGACTTCCTATCCTGCCTGGCACAGGTACACAGCATAGCTCGTCGTGGCGCGGCACACCAGCTGGGCCGACGTCGACACTCCCACTACGGGCACGTCCGCCGGGGCTAATGAGCGTGCTACGCTGCAAGGCGATGCCCACATTTCGCTGAGGACTCTTGATGGCGCCGAGCCCATTGTTGGCGACGCTGAGGCTGCTGCGCCGCCTTCGCAGACGTGGCACGCCACCAGGCGCTGAGGAGTTAGTGCTCGCGTTGCTGGATGTGCGGCTGCGAGGCATAAAGTAATCCATCAGTTCTTCGAATGACGGGTCCAACGGCGTGTTCAGCTTTGTAGGCGTGGTTTCGGGATCATAGTCGACGTTTATGGGACAGTCAGTTTGGGAAGACATGCTGTAGTCTGAAGGGTCGGCATGCCTGGGTGGTCGTGGGGTAGCGAGAAGACCCGAGGAGAAGATGGAAGAGTAGCCAGTCATGAGGTCGTAGGATCGATAGAGGGAAAAAGGAAGAGGAGGGTGAAGAAATAGCAGTGCCAGCCTTGCCCTGTTGAAATTCTGATTTATTGTGTTTCGTTTCCGCATTTTTCTCACCTGAGCCCAGAAAACGGCAGTTTCGATTATCTAAGATACCTGTCTGGTGGGTCGGTCGTCGGCCTGACAACCCCAAAACAACCTACGACTCGGTCATTTCCGATTCCGATTACCGTATTGCTACATTTGTGGTGTGTGTGCAGTGAATGGAGTTTTGGCACAACCATCAGCAAAGAAATATCACCATTGTATCTCCCTGTACACTTCCTTTCTTCCGGTGTCAAGGTACCAAGATTCAGATACCTGTACTTCCTGCGGCCAGTCTATCTTAGTTACAACCCTTGCGCCGGTCACATGGGCGCTAAGTGGTCCCCTGACCACTTGGCGTCAACTCGATCACCGCTCTACAGCACTCCGTCCGTATCGCGTAACATTGGCCCAAGAACCATGATTTTGGCGAGCGTTGAGCATGCAAGCGACCTATAGTATGTGCCTATATAGGAGGGATCTAACCCATGCACCGGTCAGACCCCGAGCTCACTCGAAAATCAAGTCGACACCGTAGACAACAAAAAACACGCTGAGCAGACCTTACTGTACTGGTTACGTTAATCCACGTGGGGAAGAAGCAACCCCGAGGCAAGCGGGCCGCATTGTATGCCTCAGCGCTCAGTCTTCAGTCGCAATAAGAGCCGGGGCGTTTCCAAGTTGCACGCTGGGTGCGGTGTGTTACATTACAATATTAGACCACCCCCCGGTGCCTGTAAGCTTCGTGCAGTGTGAGACAACCCATCAGCGTCAGGTCCATCTCCTCGATCGGTCGACCATGTTGTCACGTGTTACTGTTTGATCGGACATTCTAGGTGGTGCATAATACCGCGAGGGGCCCACTGGCACGCAGACCCAGGGAAAGCTCATTTGCATGATCAATTCATCCCGTCGTATACAAGTTACGACATGACGACTTTATCATAGTACGGTACAAGGTCCGACACGTGTGTACACTGACCTTGCGTAGGAATATACACTCGGTACCGACGGTGCACTGGCAGGGCTGGGAACTGAAACTCGTTCCGCGCCGTCTTCGCCCCATCGAGATCAACTTCCGAGGTTCTCTTCGACACACTTCACTATGAAACCAGGACTCGGACCCATCTGATGATGGTCGCAAGTAGTTGTGCCCAGACTGCGACGTTGGTTCACAGCTTGTGGGACGACTCTGAACACAATCAATCCTCTCGTCCTAGACCAATGGCCAGTCAAGTAAGCCTGATGACATTTTTCCGATGGCCGCTTATCTCCGGTCACAGGGAAAGCGAACTCAGGCTTCTAGACACTGTTGTCGGAACGACAGGGCCGCATCGAATCCGCAGCCTCGACCTAGAAATCTGTCCAATGCTTAGCCCAATGAGTCCCCATAGCGAGCGTGTCGAAGGTCGCTCTTTTGTACAGACGTTGTCCCTATTATTCTGGAATGGGTATGACGGTTCACATTCTTGAGAAGCATACGGTGAAACCCTTGGAACCGGGAAGGATCAGACTTTTCGACGAACCCTCAGTGTACACTTCGTCTGAATCGCTACTGTTTCGACTAGCGCTCTCAGAGTCTCCACTCATATGCTTTGATAATCGGGCGTCCATTTTTATTGATCTAACCCGATGTATCCAAAAAAAAAACGATGCTCTAACTCGAAATGATGCTGCTCCGCCAAACTAACTGAACCGTGTATCTTGTCTTACTGGTGTTCTGCCATGATGCGAATACGAATTTGATAACCCAAAGTTGCCGAGTATGCTCCCAGATGGTGCAAGAATGGTCTCAAGCTCCGTTCTATTTACAGTAAAACAGTGCCGTGTCTGTCACATGAGATTTTTCCGGGGGACGTCTCGGGTGTGAGGTTTCCGTGGATGGACTAATATAAATGACAAGGTCCATGGAAGGGAATGAATGAGGCAGCAATTCCCGACGCTCCATACGCCCGTCGGATATTGGACGGACCTACTGTACGCAGCGTTCTGACGGGACATTGACTTCTTGTGACATGGTGCAACAACCACCCACACTCAACTGGACAATAAAATTACAGTTTCAAAGTAAACACCATTAGCTCAACACGTGAAAAAGACATAGAAATACATTAGCAGCTAGTCATAGTCTGTCCTTGTCACAGAGCCTCGGACGATTATTACAGGAGCTTGCCCGTTCGCGCTCAGGTTCCTCCCAACGGACAATACTGTCTGCCCATTCTCACTCCGGCGAAATACGGACCATCATGGTCCAAGATGGACGTGCGGATGATTGAGTTACCCCACTGACAGTTTTCGTTCCCCTGCCCAGGGCAGACCACAGTTCCCGCCTCGCTACTCGTTGGGATGTGTACCCCCGCCGAATGATGGTACCCTATGAAACGCGGAGGTAGAATAGGCACCGAGTCATTCCCGTGTGTGTGGTTGCTGCCAAGCTGTTACAATGCCGGGCACCACGTGCGGCGGGAGAGTCAGGACCAAGTGGGTCGCACAATCGTCAACAACCGAGGGGCGTACCTCTGAGTCGATGAGATCGGAAAAACACCTGGTCTCCGCCTCGTGGTGGAGCGAAGACGATTGTGTTGATAGAGATAGTTGGGTCAAGCTGGCGGAGCATGAGAGTGTCCAAGACCGCAACCGACGCCCCAAGGCTGTGTCCTGTGACGAGGACGTTCCGGAACATCGTATTCTACAGCCCTGACTTGACTATAGAGAGAATGGTATCGGCGGTGCGGCCTTGTGTACACGCAGATCCTTCGTTGGGTCGGTGCCCTGATGCGCAACAACGATATTTTGGGTCTGATTGTCGCCACCATATTATCGCAGAACGTATCATCAATACTTCTCTGTGAACGTAAGCAGTAGTTGCAAAGGGAAAACGCACCGCTCTCGACGATAAGTGGGGTGAAACCACCCAACCCAAGTGCCTTGCACGAGTTACCGCACTCCTATGCCTGGAGGAGGTCGCTCGGGCAATAAGCGATCAGTGCAAAACGCGCCTGCAGCACAAATTTAGAAGAAATTTCTTGCGCGGACACGGGTATCATATCCTGATCGTTGCCGCTGCGCTTTTCCAGACCTAGAGGGGCGGCTGAGGTGGTACTCGGGAGGGGTAACGCGAGGTTGACAGAGGCGAGCATTTCTACGCATGATGGTCGCATGTCGTTGGAACTCCGAAAAAAGGTAGAAAGCATGCTCAACCTGTGAAAGAGAGCGGGAGAAGCAGGAGCGAGGAGGGATAGCACAGCTCCGAGTCGGACGCCAGGTTACGAGCTCTAGTACTAGAAGTCGGCGGTATTTTAAAACGTCCTGCAGCGTTCGTGACTCCCATCAATTGCGACGCAAGTGAGCTCGGCAGTAGCGCAGCTGTAGGCTAGTGCAATTATGCCGATTTTTGTTTCCAAACTTGGGAAAACGTGAGTGCATGCTGTGCAATTCAGCCTAACTTATTGTGCAGAGTAATCGGGGTTATCTTCAACACAGCACTTGCCTTACTATAAATGGACAACGTTACTGTAACCGGTCAAGCCGGTCAATAGCCTTGTTACCCGAGCCCAAGCTCCTAGAGAAAACGCGGGTGCCCGTGGCAGTACCACGTTTTGTGCCAGTGGTGGC